GTGGGGCACGCATCAGGAATGTATCCCATCGCCCTGACACCCAGGCAACTTCTCTGATGGATGAAATGCTGAGTACATACCGGAGCTAAGTGCTTACATACAATAATCAAGGCAGTTTATTTCAGAATGGCGTGAAAGCAGCATTTGGTTACATCTAAGCCCTGCAAACAGGAAACCATTTCTTACAGTGCAGAAAATGTGATTTCTCCCTGAAAGTAGTTGTGACACCAGTCAGCATTTCCAGACCAGCCATTTATAGCAGGCATCTTACTGCCAGGTTGTTTGTAAAACTGGCTCTTTGGACTGTGATCGTAAAGGAAAATAGATTTTTATCATAAAAAGAATATGCATGAGCTCAACAGTGATTGGTCACAGATGAGCTTAAAGGCTCACTCTTCAAATCTTTGTAACAGGTCTTGGAGACAAACGGAAAGTCATTGAAGCATATAAGTATCAGCCGACACATCCCAGGGGACGCCTTTCCCCCCCTGCCCCACACAGCCCAGCAGCTCAGTCAAGCCTCTGCAGCCCAGGCACTAAGATGCTAATATTCCACTTTGTGCTCCAGGTGTTGAGCAGAAAAATACAAAACCACCTTTTACCAAACAAGGGACTTCACCCAAGAGCACTGCTGTTTTCAGTCTTGTGAAGCTGCAGTCACAGGGCTCAGGAAAGTCACTTCTCATTGTTTTAAAATTCACTAGAGGAAAAAAAGAAATCCAAGAAGTTTAGGTTCAAGAGAGTTCCTAAGTTTAATGCTTAACACAATGCTTTATTCCCCTTGTCATTTAAGTCTTTGTTATATACAGAGCAGATACTATATCACTTAAGTCTAAAGTTTCATTACCAGCTTCACTCACAGCGGATTTGAGGCCCTGGATAATTCTTTAATGTGATTTAAATACACCTACTAGAATCAGGATATGTTTTTGTTTGAAAACAGTAATTAAATAACTTTGGTTTCACTAGCTTTAAAAAAGGTATACAGAAGTGTTTGTGGGGAACACATCTTTACTTGTATGTGCCAATGAAGATCACAGGGCTGAGATAATTATTTACTTCTCTTAAATCCACCGAGAACCAAACACATCACCTTAGAAACCTTGGGGTGTACGGGGGTCCATCTGTCACCTTTGCGTAAAGGCCAAGGCACCTTTATTTACCTGTAACTTAAAGATATCAGCAAATTCTTACCCTTAAGCTTCAACAAATTGAGCTACACTTGACAAAATACCTCCAATATTTCTTCCCTCTGATGTAGCAGTTAACAGGCTGCTCACCATCGCATCCAGTCCACAGCTTCACCGGGCATTATTTTGCAGCACGTCAGCTTGCAAACAGGATACCTTAACAGTTGCTGACATTGAACTGGAAAAGCAATCACTTTCTTCCCCACCTATGCCCAATCTCCTCATTTTCTGCCCTTTCCAAAAAGATCCAAGCCTCAACCAAACCCACAAAAACACAAGCAAACAAACTGACATAATCTCTTTCTTAATTGAGAGATATCATTACCACAGCATGCTTGTTTCTGGGGTATAAGCAATGGGAGAGACGTTTCAGACCCTGGCACATACACTAAATAGGTACCAGACAAGATAGGAAGAAGGCAATGCTGAGTTTCCAGCCAATGCTGGAAATAAGATAACCCCCCAGACGACACCAGGCATCTGGAAGTTGTCTGCAGTATGCATGGACAAATTGTTGCCAGTATTAGACAAAAATCAAATAAGAAAAAAAAAAAAAAAAAGAGATTAAAAAAAAAGCTCTAGAGACAATTAGAATAGAGGCAATAGATTTTGCGTTACGGAAAGAATAAAGTCAGTTCATCCCTACAGACCAATTCCAAATCATGCTTTGCAACCATCTATTGAAAAGGCCATCTGGCTGCACTGTGCGCCCCAAACCAAAACATCGATCTTTGGGGTGCACTAAACTGGATCTTGAAATTCAGTTTTTCTTCATGCTGAAGATTTTTTCGTAGGCTATCATCAAGGATTAATTTCAGAAAGTTTCTCACGGTAGGAATGCAAAAGGTCACCTGTCCAAGGGACTTTAAACATTTCTCAATGAACGTAATAGTTTAGGGGATTTTTGAGAGTGGATCGGATGCTAGTTAGCATGCTGAACTGAGCCCAAGGAAATAACAACTGAAAATCATGGTGGCTGATGTCGTTTGAAAGCAAAGCCTCATTTGATGCAGAGGAGAGCGTTTTTCCTGAGGGAACATGGGGAAAAGGACAAGCATGAAATGGAAAAACTCCACACCAACCACTGAAACAACATGCTAAAGTAGCAGGAGACTCCCTGGTGCAGGCATCAAATGGAAAAAACAAACAAACAAACAAACATTTCAGCACTTGAAATGTCAATTTGAAATTCCCGAGTAAAGCCTACAGCAACATCCAGCACCCCGGGGACACAGCAACGGGCCCCTAACTGCGAAACAGCAAAAGCACAAGTGAGGCCTAAAAATGCCCGGGCAAACTCAGCATTTCCCAAGGGTCCAAGGAAGGAGACCGCACCGGTGTGAGTCCAGATCCAATAACCACGTTGGCTCAACGCCACTCAACTCGTGATTTTTCAAATAAAGCCGAACAGTCGCTATGACCTGGCGAAGGCCGAGGCCCCCGGCGCGGGATGTGGCTCACGCCTGCACAGTCTCCTCCCGCCGATCTCAGCCCGAGGCAGTGGCACACCTACTGCTCCGTGTCACAAATGCTAAGCTGAAGAATTAAGAATTCAGTAGACGGTACTTTAAAAAAGCGCCTTTTTTTTTTTTTTACTCCCTTTAAAAAGAAAAAAAAACAACCCATAAAACTCTTTTGTGAACAACTCGAGAACAGAAAAACAAAGGTAGATTTTAATCAGCACTTTCACACATTGAACATTTCTTTAAAATGCCAAAATTTAAACATGAGAATCACATCCCTATCTGGATTTATTGCACTAGTAGAGTGGTCAAAGCTCAGTCATCCTACGCACGTAAGAAACCTCCACAAAAGTGAACAGGACTGTGAATATTCAATATTGTCTAAATCAGGCACTCTTTGTCCCAAAATGCTGTAGTCAAATGTATATTTAAGCGTGAATAAAACGTGTGATAAAGGTAAAATAATTAAACTATAGTCTTGAGCGAAGATCTTTTCAGGACATTATTTGCTTTTCCTTCTGACACATTTTAAACTGACACAACAGGAAACTGAGCACTGAAGTCAACTCCCTCCAATCCCACCAAAAGAGGAAAAAAATTTGAGTTCTCTCAAGTCAGGTATTTTCTGCTTTCAACAAACAGGGTATGTACAACAAATCCTTCTAAGTTAGAGCAGATTTCAGAAAGCTTTAAATTTCTCTGAGTGGGCTTCTGAACTGTCATTGCTGGTTATTATTAGTAGGCACAGAAATTCCCATTTTAATTAGAAACTTTATTTTGAAATACATTACATGGTTTACATGTGAAGTGCTTTCACTGTAAGATATTTCATAACATTGTGCAGAGCAAAATGGCTGACCAATTTCCTTGAAGCTCTTCCAGTTATGTTTTGTTTTTATTAAAACTGTCTTACAGAACTAGGATGCAACTTAGGCATTTGTATTCAAAAGCTACTTATTATGTTTACCTTAGGGAGAAAGTATATACTTAACAGTTCCAATTAACTATGTGTTTCAATAATGAAGTTAAGCATTTGGCATAAGACTGAAAGAAACCCGAGTCCTAATTAAACTTGTATTCACCAAAATTTTTTTTTTAATTAATTTTCATGATCAAACTACTTTTTTATTAAGGCACAGTCAGACAAGAATTTATAACGACTGGTTACCAATGCAGTTTTACCTGCACAGCCTTCCTGCTGGTCTGCCAAAAGTAATCTGGAAGTTGTTTTCCCTGTCTGCTGCTGAGACTGTTCAAGAACAAGGCAGAGGAATAAGGCAACTAAAAGAACAAATATGCAAAGGAGTTCGGCATTTGGGATGGATTCTGAACATCTGCAAAGTAGTTCATTTTGTAAATGGAGCATTCACTTACTCAAATGGTGGCCATCTGTGATAAGGAAAATAGAAGTGGTACGAGCATTAACTGCTTGCAAAAGGATATTTTACCAGGAATAACCAAGATGTCTGGTATGCTTTCAGGTGAAGACTCTGCATGCAGCAACTCCCACAACTTTCAGAGATAATCTAAATTGAATTCTGAAATTCCCCTCTGCCACTCAGAAAAGCCGAATGTACCAGGAGGCTGCTTGACAGCAGGTGAAATATTGGGGAATGAAATCTCCATTTAGATAATGAGCCAGGACTGCCATCCTACTTTGCATTTCTTATTAGAATGAAAGGAAGTCTTCAGGAATGATAACTCAAATAATTACACCATTATTTTGGCTGGAAGAAAGTTTAAGAACTCCTAAGATGTAATGATGTTTGAAGAACATGAAACAATTCTACCCATAGTCAAAGACTAAAGAGAAATAAACATTAAAAAGAGAGAAGCCTTACCCTCCCCTCCCAATTAAATCTTTGAGGAATAATTGCTCGAGCTTAGCACTGTATGGCTTCTGTGGCCTGTGAATGCTCGACAGATACTCTTAAGAATTATAATTTTCAAGCTACTGTTTGTTTTCAGTTTTAAGTAATATCAAATAAAAATACTGCATCTATTTCACTTTAATAACCAAACTGAGCATAAAAATCATTAAAAGTGTATTTCTGATACAAATTTGTATCACATACCAAAAGATACTATTTTATAGATAATTGTAAAACAAAAAATTAGAATATACAAAAGGTTTTTTAAATTCTTTTGCATGGCTGAACTCATAGTGCAGGTTTAAGATAAAAAAAAAATCTGTAAATGAAGTAGTCATAACAAATGTTGAATATAAAATACATTCTAAAGTATTTTACAGAATGGCTGAATTATCAAGCATAAGAACAGAAGATAAAAGATGTTAATGACAAGCAGCCACATACAGAACACAAAGCAAGAAGTTTAAATCAGACTATTTTGGTTTGTGTAGCCCTTTATTAGCAACTAAAATAGAAGATATCTGTTGTACATCACGGGTAGTAACTGACTATACTGGAGTTTTATTATATTCTAATACAGGATCATTTATAAATGCATTGTTTTCCTTTTTTTTTTTTCTTTTATTAAAAAGCTTCCACCCCTTTTTCCATTTACAACTTGCAAAACTATTCTGAAAGCTGAGTACATGTGCACAGGTCTGCAAAGAGTGCAAATTTAGGATACGGTAAATGCTTTACATGTTGTATTTGTAAGGACTGTCTGCCATCATGCCTTCACAGCCATTATCTTTTCAAAAAAAATAAAAAAAAAATAAAAAAAAAAAAAAGAAGTCACAAAGTGTTTCAATACCAGCCTTCCTTCCATTGTCCTAAACAAGAAAGCATTTTTAAATGAGTTGAAACTAAGGAAGGACTACACCTACTAGAAAAGAAGAGAGTTCTATTAGTTTGAGGTTTCAGTATACCCAAAGACCAGGGACTGTATCTTTGTAAGGGCTAGGCTGGGACCCCGTGTACAGAGTGTGTGCAGGTGCCATCCCTGAGCATTCAGCAGTTCAGTGGACCATAAGTGCTCCAGCTGCATAACTCACTGAGCTGTCTTGCCAGTTTCGACACTGGCTTGACTGAGCATAATTCAAAAATGAAAAGCTCATATTCATTCCATTCTTCTGGAGCTCGTTGATAGCCTGAAGAAATAAAAAAAAAAAAAAAAAAAAAAAAAAAAGCTGTTTAAAAAAGGGTACCAGTGGAATTCTGACATTTTCTAGAGCTCAGTCCTCTCCCCTCACCCCAGGGGTCTCTGCACCATCTCTTGTTAAAATATAAGCACCTCTAAGTATTGGGGACCTAACCCATTTCTGTGCTCTTTCATTCACTGACGCTCCCCGCACTGCACTATGCACATCTGTACAATTCTATAAAGCAATACGGAACAACCTTTCAAAATAGATCCTTTAGAAACAATGCTTTTAGTTCCATCGGGAATTTATACAGAAACACAGGTGTGACAGAAAAAAAACCCCAACACTATTAACGCTTTTTAGACTGTGTTTCTTCCATTACAGAAAAAGAACGTACCAAGATAATCTATTAAATGTGACAACTGGCAAAAGTGAAGGAACAGAATTTAGCTCAGATTCACTGCAAAATTAATCATTATCGGAGGTTAAGAGGTGGGTATTTTTACATTGTCATAGTGCTGACTTTTACCACACGTATCCCCAACATTGATATCGCTCACACAAACTTCTATAGACTCCACTTTAAAAGGTTCCTCTGTATGTTCTCCATACAGACTATATTTCAAGTGAATTAAGTTTTCCCTTTTAAAAAGATTAACAGGCTTCCTGTTTCAGCTTTGAATTACAGTAAAAATACAGTGATTCACTCAAGCAATATGACAAATCCGCAGCACTCCAGCAGTGCTGTAAAGCAGCTGTGACCCAATTTAGACAACTAAGTTAAGCCAGGTTTATGTCTCCACTGCATCACCAAAGCATAATACAGTAACTAGAAAGTACCTGTTAATCTAATTGCCATTAATTTATGAGTTAACGGTGCACTGCACTAATACTTAGAGGCAATCTCTCACCGTATTTGCAAGGCTTGGAAATGCTGCCAGACGTCACAAGGCACTGACAATAGCTAGCTAATAGCAATACAGAAAAAAATATACACGTTTGTCAGTACCGATTCGAAAGGAGTAAGTATGTAGTTATTCAAGGAGATTGACTTCTTTGTTTGTTCATTTAGGGCCAAGAGAAAGTGAATGATTGAATTTCATTGCAATTCAAAAGAAACATGGTACCTCATCTCCCTTAAGAAACTGAAAACCCTCAGGCCCTCTAAGAGCTTACATTTGTCTATATGCAAGACACAGAAATTGGAGACCAAATTGAGAACACTTGGAAAAATAAATTAATTCAAGACTCGCCATTTTAGAACTACGGAATATTCCAACAATACCGTGTTTAAAACAAAGGTAAGCAGTTTGCTGAAAGTTACATTTTTCAACAAATCAGAAGTTACTTACGTTTAATAATACACCAATAGGATGTCTTCCACATATTGTATTATGGTATTTCTTCAAGTAATTGCTAAAAGATACAGGATCTAGCTGCTCTATAATGCTCATACCCTGAAAAAGAATTGATAGCAATGATTACTTCACACATTCCTATGCGTTTATACATCACCTATTTATGACAACACAGGATACTTCGGGAGGAAAAAACCTCTCCTATGCATCAAGGGTATCAAGGGAATCTCAGCATGTCAGCTCTAGCTCGTAGTCATCTTGTTGCCATCCCTTGCCAAACTAAAAGTGCAGGAGCTCTTCCAAAGCTGTCAGTGATCCACAGATCTGTGAAGCTATCTTTGCAGATACCAGTGAAGCTCAAGTTAGAAAAGCTCCTCCTGCAGACTAGCTGACCCCCACCTCCAAGGGTGCCCTACTTCCATAGGATTTTGTACAGCAATAACGAGACAAGTTTACTAAAAGGCCAAAGCAGGAAGAAGTTTTGCCTCCAGCACCTCTCCTTGGTAACAGAGCTCAGGGCTGAGCACTTGCCTGGGACTTCTGCACGTCCAAAAACCCTAGACAAATCATCAGTATACACACATGCATTTCGAGCGTGTAGCGAGTGCAGTGTATCCTAGACCCATCAGGCATGCAAGGCAGTTGATCTGGGCACAGGCTGGCCATCTGCTCAGAGCATAAAAAGCAGATCCAGAACATCTCTAAAGCACTAGAAAGTTTGGGGCATGACAGAAGCGTAAATGCCAGGAGATGATGCTTCCACTTCACGCGAGGCAGTCACATATATACGTCCTTTCCTCCATCCACAGTGAGACCCACGATCCTATGGAGTCATACCCTGAAAACCAGCACATGTATGGAAAACAAAACCTTCCACATATACAAACATTTGCATTCTTAAAAGCAAAGAGAGTCCTGCAACTCCAGGTAACAGCCTACTCTCGCCCCATCCCACAGAGCAGATCAAATACCATGAAAGTAGTTTAAACAAATTATTGCCTGGATTTTATCACGGCTTAGCTATTTTGCCTGTATTAGACCCCATCCCCTTGTGTTTTTCCTTCCTCTGAAAATGATTAATTCCCTTCACCAGGTAAATGAGCTCCAGGCACTCGCTAATTAAGTAAGACACATAGCTGTGCTTCTTACATGGAGCTGATGAAACAGGAAGGTTTTCCTTAGAGACTGGAAAAAAACATACGCTTTGCATGGGAACAATGAGGGGTTGATATTGGAAAGGGAGAAAATTTCTCCTAAGGTCTCTGCAATTGTTCCAGACCCTTCCCCTGCTCTGGGGAAAGTGTGGGTGATAAAAGGAGAAATCATGATGCAGGAAGCAGTCTGTCTGAAGCCTCCACCTCAAGAGTGAAACCTCTCGAATAGTCTGCAAGGGCGCTGGCTGATCTGGCAGATACGCTAATTATTCAGCCTGGATCACAGCTTACAGTGGAGGAGCTGGAGATTCCCAAGAGAGTCAGAGAGGATTAGAAAACAGCAACCATAACCACCACCTTTGTGTACTTTTAATTAAAAACAGATGTAAGATGAATTCATAGAGAGATAAATTTTATGGAAAAATAAAACCAAACTATGCTGACCAATTGCTGGCAAGAGCTCAGTTCTTCCAGGGTCACGGAGAGGGTGTTTGGACCCCTGGCCGGTAATTACATCTGTTACTCACTCCAGATCTACAGAACCTAAATGAGTGCCAAAAAAATAAAGGTAGCTATTCTCTAACTAGCAGTGATTACATAGATACCATTGCATTTCTAAAGTTTAAGCAGTGTGTCTCTGAACCATCCATTTACTTGTAAATTGTACGTGTCAATACACAGCTAAAGAAAGCAGAATCAAACTTAACTATATACTCAAGTGAAACTAAACATGCATACAGCACTTACTCAGATACTGAACAGCTCATAAGAATGTATTTTATCCATTTATAAACCCTTTCATGACTTCTTAAAAAATGAAAATGGCTCCTTAATTGGGAGACTCATTTTATAGCTGTAAGTCACTGGAACATACTGGGCAGAGGCATTTGAGCATTTGTCTCAAATGAATGGACATGGATTTATTAGAATGCCTAGTAAGCGTATTCAAATGCATAGTTCAGCACTGCAAAACATTTAGAGCTACGCAGTTCATCCCAGCAAATGCTAACAGAGCTCCATACATCACAGATTGGAGAAAATCCATAGGCAATGGTTATTAACACATATCCTACAAGCATTCAGCTGTACTGAACTTTTCAGTCTTTTGGATTTAAAAATCATTGTGGCAGAGGAGCAAAGACTATCAAGCTTGCTTCTCAGTCTAAAATGGTGTTGAGGAATAAAGGAAACATTTTTCTCAGGTTGTATTTTATTTTTCTAAAGAGCAGAAGTATGAAGCTAATAATTCTCAGCATTCAAAATCACTCAGCCAGGCATGGTTTGGAATAGAATTAAAATACACGACAAAACCCACATGATAAAAATGCAAACCATCACATAGTTCTGCAGTTTATCACATGGTTATTATGGCAACACACAGAAATTGCATATCTCAGTTTACTAGACACTGTAAATGGCATCTGCAATATCCTGGCACAATGCACTTAATATGATTAAAAGCAGTTACATTCTTAAATATCATCCCCTACAGGATCAAGTATCTACAACCTTACAGGAAAACAAAACCAAAACAACCCACAGGATCATTTCATACTATACTCCTAGAATCCTTTGGCCCTTCAGGTTGAAATTTGCAATCAGTTACTCCAGCTGCTTCTTCACGCTTTAAAAAAGAGATACCAACTGGGAGCGTGTTTATGAAAGTAGAAAGAAACCGGGTCTTAGCACTGGCCAGTCCAACTATCTTTGCAGGTGTGAGTCACTCGGGCTAGAAGATAAACAACGAACAGGGAAATTACTGATGGAGCAGAGCAGGGCAGGGCAGGGCACCCGGGCAGAGCACCGTGGTCTCGCAGGGTGCCCACGCGAACCGAGCCGCTGTCCCCGGCTGGAGCACGGCGGGCCGGCGGCACGCCGCAGCGGCACTGCAGAAGCCACCGGCACTTCACCCAGCCACCCGTGCCCTGCACGGCTCCTGCACAACTCTAACTCTCCTCAGCGCCTGCGTTCTCCTCCCCCCTTCAGCATTCGGGGTAACAGAATCCTCCTATCCACTCAAGCGAGGCATACCGTTTCACAAATAGATATAAAAATGAGCAATCTGGCAGGGAAGATCGAAGCAAGCAGTCTGCGTTTTCTGGCTGGCCGTAATCAAAAAAATAATTACTCTTCAAGAACGTCTTACAGAATACTCCCCCACTTTTGTTTGAAAAGATGGCAGTCGGCAGGTTAGGAGATACAAAGAAGTTATCGCACATCAGCTGCTCAGCTGTAGCCCTCCACTCGAGGATTCTCCCCTACGGCATCCCCGTTAACCGTGGGGCTGTTCACCCCTTCCACTGCCACTTCACAGGGCGCGCTGTGGTACCCCCGGTTCCCCTGGAGAACCCCATGTCTGCCCAGCAAGATTTACTACTCTGCAATTTTTATGCTGGAATCTAAGGGCTCTAACTTAAAAATCACCGCAAATGAGATTTCTCGCAGCCGTTACCAGGTCAGTAAATCTTCAATGCCTGAAGCATTTAGCGTCGTTTGTGCACTCGCCAGGAAAACCATCAGGCATCTGTACTTAAGGTCCAGCCTAAATAATGAAGAGACCCTTGTCCTCCCACGAGGGCATTTTTAAGGAAAAGTAATTTCATCTTAACGCAGAATATCTTCCTGCTTACAAAGTGCTCAGTGCTTTCCTAGTTAGGTCCAATAAAATTATTGGGCCAGTAATAGCAGAGGTTAAAACCCCTGATGGTTTTAGTACAGTTTTGTTTCCATCTTAATGCTGTTTCCTCTGTGGAGAGGCCTAGTGGTTACAACAATACCAAGTTTCTTTTAGCATGCCAAATGACATTAAAAAAAATACAATACTTATCTAAGGAAACAAGAAGTAGCTGAGTGAGGCATACAAAATTGAATAAACTCCTTCCAAAAGCTGGAGAAACGTGACAAGGAGATCTTTGTGGCATTGTGGATAGCGTCCCAAGAGTACCCACAGTGCTGCTAAAAAGAAATTTCTGAAATTCACTGAAAGCAAAACCTACTCTGTACAGAGTTTGAATACGGAGTCATGTCTTCACATATGGCATGATATAAACAGGCAAAAAATAACCACAGTATACTGCTACACAGCATGTTTAATTCTCCAGTTAAATTTAAGATTGAAAAAAGTGTTTTCATGGTTATTAAACGGTAGGCATCATTTTCAACGTTACAAGAAATGTCATTTAATTTTGGCTATGTAACTACCAAAAGAAAGAGTTGGTGCAGCAACGCATTCACTAAAAGTAATTGAATGACAAAGTCCAGTCTTTCTGCAAGCTTTCACCACAGAAATTAGCAAGGGGAAACTACTGTTTGCTAATGCACCTTAATCTGCTCTCTGGCAAAAACACCCCAAGCTGCAAATTCTGGGACTCTGTAGAAAAACATCTGCCTCCATTCTATTTATCCCATTTTTAATAATTCTTGTTGTCGGTTGAGAGATTTCTCTATAATGACAAATTATTTACTGTTTCCATTCCACTGATGAATTGTGGAAAAACAAAGAGGTTTATATGGATACACAAGGAAAAAAAATCAAGAGATCTCTCCAGCAGATTGGATTTATTTCTTCAAGACAAGGGAAAAAAAAAAAAAAAAAAAAAAACGACGTGCCCCAAATAACACGAGTTTTCTCTTCTAACAGATCTTACAGAAGTTACATAAATGATCCAAACAGCTTTAAAACAAATTTTAAGGTTACATATTTCCAGAATTACTTCTATTCTGTGCCTTAAGTATAGCCTTAAATGTTAATGCAATTTTTCGTTTAAAAAGAAATACTTGGCTCCTGTGACTGCAAAGAAAATGCAACATAATTGGCATCATGATCTTTATGTATTTAGCACTCCTTTCAGCCTTTTGCCAAACCCAGAATGAAGTACAGTCTACTGTTTTTCCCCACCACCTACTACAGAATCCGGGGCAGTGGGAAGACTACCCCCAAGGAAACGGTGACTTTCGTTTTCCTAACCAGCACAATCCCTCACAGCCTTTTCTCCTCAAAATGGATGTTGCTGAAACCATTAGCATAATCACAATGCTGTTTCCATATGCAGATACCACAGCTATCAAGCCTGAACTACCACAATACTCTATTGGTAATTCTTATTGCTTCTCGAAAACATAAGAGGGTATGTGGACAAGAATTACATTACACTAGGGCATTTTAGGTAGGTGAACATGCATTTATTCTCATAAATTATGCTTACTAGATTATACCCACAATATATTGTGCGCAGTCAGTAAAATGGAGGATACTAGCTAAAAACAACAGCTAAGTTCTTATTGTGGTAAACAAAGGAAAAGGATACATTCAATAAAATAGCTAATCTATAATATTTTGTTAGAGATATTTCTAAAGTGTTCAAAGAAATGTAATGTACAGGAGAAATTTGTTAGTTAGTTCCACCAAATCTGAAAACTTACCATTTTATCTAGGTGCTCAATGGATCTATAAATTTCTCCTTGGGATTCATCATAGTAACTGTAACGGAACCTCTGACCTTGAAACAAAAATCATGTATAAAATAAAAAAGGGAAAAATTGTAGCTAAAACACTCCCTAGTACTTACTAAATAACTGAAATTATTATATTCGTAAAGTAGTAATCTTCACTTATTCTATATTGTTAGCTCCAGTGAGGAAATTCTAGGGCAATCAAAGTAGCAGCCCTGAAGCAAAGTAAAAAAATACACGATGGGCAGCTATATTCCTAAAGAAAAACCTACTATGTAGAACTGACACTGTAGTATCACTTATTAATTGCCTGTTATTGCCTTGGAATCCAATTCTATAAATTAAAAAGTAAAGCAACATTTCATTTCGCTATCCCTCTTGACAAAGTCAACCCTGGAGTCAGGCTACTTCTGCTTGCACAGCAATACCCACAGTAAATGAAAGTTAAAAGAAAAAAAGTTCATGGTAATTCTATGAACAGTTCCAGATGGTTCATTAGCCACAACAGAACCCAGGTCATTCTTATATATCTCCACCTATTCCACAATTCAAAGACAAATAAAATATGCACTTAATTATGTAAGTTGACCAAAGATGACAATGAAAAAAGGGAAGAAGGTCTGTTGTGTAACATAAAACATATCTTTCTGAAGCAGTCCCTTTCCAGCTATCATCACACTTAAAAGAAAAATAATGTGTTAAAGCAGGACAGAAGTCAAGGCTTCTGGAGTCTTTATAGCTCTGCCACCAAGATGAACTGGGATAGCTCTGGCAAATTGGCATAAATACTCCATCTGCTATCTTACCCAGCAGTAAAATGTACAAAATTTATTTCCATCAGAGGGATGTTGCCATGTCCAGTGTATTTTTAGCTAATTAGTTTTGAAGTGCTTAAAAGAAGAGTAAAAAAAAAAGCAAGAGACTTCAGACACTTATTTCACTGCAACAGTAAAGAGATGCATATAAACCCATACACCTTCACCATTTATTTCCTCCACTACACTGAAAACACATACCACATTAATAATTTTCTTTTGTCTATTGTTCCAGATCAAAAAAAAAATAATAATTTTTTAGCTTTACAAAGGCATTTAAGTTTCAAAGATACATTTAACAGAAGTTAAACTGTTCAACGTTTAATAAAATACGTTATTTGAAAATCACTACAAAATATTCAAACTGCTATAAGGAAGAGATGTGAAACTTACCCCAATGGCAAAAGTCAGAAGAAACCACAAAGAGGTTACTAGGATCAGCTAGGTATTTACTGAAGAGTTTTCCAAATTCCTGCTCTTTTGACTCACTCAGTGCTCCGACCAACACAGGAATAATAGTAAACTCATCCTTATGGCTTATAAGCAAAAGAAAAGAGGTTGTAATTCAAGTAACATCTGAAGTTTTTTTCAGGGCTTGCTAACTGAAATTGCAGAGTGTTTTAAAAGGGCACTATTGAATTGAAGATACAGTTAATTTGTTAAGGTTTTACTAGGAGGCTGTTTTAGAACCTGAAACTACTTCAATTTCAGAAAATAAATCTCCCCACAAAACAGTATTTAGCTTTCCTGCAAAGTGAAAACACCAGGCAAACGAAAAGACACAATACAACTAGCAATAAAGTAAGAATTACATTCTCCCTGTATAGATGCTGCACAAATATTGGGTAATTTTCCAATGTGTATAAAAATGCTCATGATACCACCCAGATGTATACGGATACTCCAGAGAAAATTACAAATACTATGGAAGTTAAAAAAAAAAAAAGATGGGGGGGTGGAAACCACCACAAATTGACAAAAATTATTGTCTTTATAAAGAAAAATTATTCAAAGTACCCATCTGAAATAGAAGGCGTAAACAGAACCCGGATTTCAAAATTAGTATTAAGGCTCCAAACAAACTTAAAATCCCACAGAAAACACCTATTAGTATTTGAATTTCTTCCAGAGATATCTTGCAAAAATGAAAACAAGAAAAAAAAAAAAAATCAGCTGTTGAGAAAGATTTATGAAAGCATGTCTAATATTAACTCTATTAAGTCAATATAAATATATAAACTTGTTTATAAGGGCTATTCCAATTTCATCATTCAGGTGTTCGCTCCACTCATGGTTTCTATTTCAGCAACTAATCCTAGTCTCTGACCTTCTCCTCCCCAAACTTTTTATTGGGTGGGTGGGCGAGTGCGAGTATTATACACCATATAGGGCATTATATCCCATAAAGGGCATTATTACTTCCTGCTGCACTTCACAGGCAGTTCAAACATTTAATACACATAAAATGTTCATTCTTGTAGAAGGAATTAGCCCTAGTACCTTTCCATGGCTTTAGCAGTGTAAGGCAAATGCATTTCAATACTGTGTTCATCTTCATCTGTCTGTAGGGACATACGCTCAAACATTCCAGTCTTCCACAATTCTCCATAAACTGAAATGAAGATTAATTTTTATTACTTTTTTTTTTTTCATAAAAAAAAAAAGAAAAAACAAACAAAACACCATAAAACAAGCTACAGTGCATCTTTATTAAACAAGCCCACTGTAACAAATTAATTGCCTCCAGGGGCTGTTACCATAAACCCCTTGTTTTTAAATAAATTCAGGATTAAAATTATGTTCAAGTCATTAAGATACAAACGTAATTGGTTCAGTTTACAAAATAAGTGTGAAATCAGTGACCTTGTTAGTATATTAAGAAAGATTTTCAGTTGTTACACAAAATTTAAGTAACACAAATAAAACACATTTGAAAGTATGCATGCATTTGCCCAGTCACTGAATTCTTATTTTCACAAACTACACCACAATATGTTTTAAAGGGAAAAAAAAAAAAAAAAATTGCTGATCAGCTGAGCCACTGGTGGATGTTCTACTATTTAATACAATTTATTATTAACCAAATTGTGAATTCTAGAGACAGTGAAAGCTGATTAAGTAATCCAGATTTATAAATTATCTTTTCTACTCTCGGGTGCGCTTGGTGGCACGCAGAGCCACCTCTACATTTTGAAAACTCTCCACTGAATGAAGAATTTGATGTAGGGCTGTGCCTCCTTCTCCACTCCATAAAGGAGTTCTACAGAAAGCGAAGTATTTGTTACCTAAGGAAATTTCTGCAGGCATTATGGAGAAAGTCTGAACTAACTTGCTTAATCACAGTCATGATGAAGTAGCAATACATCTGTGCTAATTAACCTTTCTGAAAAAGATACTGTATTATTTATGTTTACCTCAAAACACATGGAAGTCAAAATATCAAATTTATCTTCATCACACCTTTAAGCTTAGTCTGAAAGACTGGTACTTTATGGACAAACAGTTTTTAAATCCTGTACGTACTCTGCCAGTTAAAAAAAAACTCACATGCAATAATGCATCCAAATAAAAGCAGCGTTTTGTTCCTCTGTTATTCCTCTATGAGAAATAAACTCAAACCAACTAAAGCACTATCTTTTTTTTGCAGAGAGAATACTTCACAGACTAATGAGGCAGTTGTGTAATGAGCTATTATTCAAATGCAACGTTTTTTCATTTTGAGATTCCTTTTAAAGATCGCTTGTCAAGAGGCACACACTCGTAATGGGAAAGATAAACAAAAATTGAGAATTTGTTACTTGCAGGAGCAAGGGAGACATTAAGGTTATAATATAGCAATATCTACAACCGCCAGGATCTTTCAGAAGCTAGCTTTCATTGCAGTAAAAACCAATTTATTCTTGTATGCTGCTTAAAAGCAACGAAGTGCCCAGCAAGAGAGTCCTCAGCACTGCAGTACCACAGTTAATACTCAAGCCTCAGTAATCTTCAAGATGTAAGCTTTATCATGCACTTACTCTTTTGGTCAATTCGGAGATCATACAGAGGTGTTCTATAAATGTCCACACTGGAAAGTGCACATCGGGAAAGGGGCACGTGATGGGAAGGCCCAAGAATGAAAATTTTTCGGCTACAACAATTAACACAAAAGCCCACAATTTAGGTAACTGCAATTGTACAGAGACTTGGTTTAGAGTAACAAGTTTCATAAAAACGTACAAAGTGATACTTTCTGGAGGTTACCAAGAGAGTTTTAGTCTGCTGTATGTAAGAGCACAGGTCAATCCATGGCCTAGGCTTGTTCGGTATCTCAGAAACGATCATGAGATCGGTTCCGTAGTGCTTCCCCCACAGCTTCAGACCTCTTAAGCCGGTTACGTATCAGAGGGCACTCATCAGCTAGCAATCTGTCTGACTGGACTCATTTGAAGGCTGAATGATGTGTTACAGCCCCTTCGAACAGATTTTGGGATTCTCTCCTTGGACCAACACAGCCTTCAGTCACACACCACCTTCAACAACTAGAGGTATGTGCCCTCAAATGAGAATTCTGGATTTATCATCTGTTCGGAGTTTTTCACTTATTTTCTACATTAGCCTTACTTCAGATTTCACCAAATTCAAATTTAAGTCATTCTCAAAAGCTGTTTTTATCCAGCTGTTGCATCAACAACAGGGACTTGGACGGCACATTCGTAGCTTTAGCTGATACTAGAAGCTTTCACACGTCATCATGATGTTATTTCATCAAGTCCTCAGTTCCTGGCTCTTGATTAGATGTTAAGGTTCTCCTGCCACAAGACTTCAAGAAAAAAAAAAAAAACAAACAAAACAAACAAACAAACAAACAAACAAAAAAAACCACTACAGGAAATTCAGCTTTTCAGATTCAGGATTATATGATCTTGTTTCGGGCACTGAACTAAAGAGGGAGGAGATGTAAACATTTTTTTTGTATTATTTTTCCCCTTACATATGGAGTGCTATAGTAAGCTATACTAAAACTTTTACAGAGCTCATAAAAACAAAATATCCAGATGTGCAATAGTGCAGCTGAAAGACAAATTCTAAACATCCCATGCAGTAAAATAGCAAATGATCCAGAAAGTTCCATCAACTCCATGTCACTGAACATGGGGAATGCAACTCGTTCTAGAAATTTCAGAGAAACTAGTTATCTTTCACACCATAAGTTATCTTCACTTTGTTTACAATAGTTTAGAAAGAATCAAAACCAAGGTCTTTGGAGAACATTACAACATGTTTTCTCATAAGCAAGTGATAGACATAGCCAGTTTTTATATTAACACTGCAAGATACATTCTTTGAGTAAATACTGGAGATATTTTAAATTTTTTCATTAAAAAAAATGTTGCAGTCAGCAGAATACATAAGAATTACATTCCTTTAACCTAGAATAACGGGATTCATATTTTCAGAGACATGCACAGACTACAGTAGCATGTTGGGGTTTTTTAATTTTTCTTATTTTAAACTGTTGTGCTGTTGGAAACACAAGCCCATTTAAAATTATCACAACAAGTAACTTTCACTGACTTCAAATATTATATACACACATAGGTCACTTTCTCCACAGCAGAAGAGAATCCTGGTAGCATTCAGCCCATAATCCTGCACTGAAAAACCAATGCAGAATCATGATCAAATATTTTAATATACTTTAAAAACAAACAAAACCTACCAACAAAACCAAAACAAAACAAGAAACAAAGACACCCTGTGACCGGGGGAAAAAAAAAAACAAAACCAAAACCAAAAACCAAACAACTCAGCTTGGGCTTTTATAAAAGCAACAGAACGTCAAGCAATAAAGTAAATTAAATGTTATTACCTGCGAAAAGAACACCTTTAACCCCTCCCTCCTAAGAAGTCAGTTACCAGTAATTCTCAGTTTTTGAAAATACTGCTTTACATTTTCAAATTCAACAATACTACATTAATTTTCTCTTTTGTAACATCCACACAATTTGAACATTTATTACGTTAAAACAGAAGAGATGCATAAAAGACTAAAAAGATTACAAAGTGCAGTACTTCCAAAGTGTAAGAACGTAAAAAGAATATTCAACGTCCCAGAGAATTGCAATGGCATTTTCTTACGCTTTGTAAAGAAAAACTTTAATACTTTAATACTTACGTAATATTAGGATCCACTTGTTTGTAAGCATGGGCTGCACAAGATCCACAGTAGGTATACCCTGCATGGCTGCAAATCAAGGTGCACAAGATGTTAACATGTTAAATATTGTTTAACATCTTAAATATGTTGATACTGCTATTAAGTGTTAATGTCTTGATTATTATTTGTCCCTAATGATCTAGAAATAGTAAGAGTCATCCAAAAATCAACTCCTGAAAGAGCTGGAGAGCACTGTTGCAGAGCTGAATGTATGAGAGACACGTTTGTAAATGTCAGTGACCATTTACTTAAAAGTTAGTAAGCAAGCCTCCAGATCAGAGCACTTCTCGTTACTTGTAAAAGATACTAGTAGACAGACAACACAACTGCGTATTATCTGAAGCTCATGAGAACGCTGAGTGCAGCCAGGGGACAAGGGAATTGCAAGTTGCTGGAGAAAGCTCTTCTAACTGCACTCGGCTAACTGAATACCATGACAGTAGAGGGGTCTGGCAGAGAGAGACCACACGTTACAGCAGATCAACAGAGACTAGAAATGCTCTGTCATCGAAGAATAGCTCAGCTAGAGAACGAATGGGTACAGGGAAAGGAGCGGAACGCAGCCTGGTAGATTTTACCTCAGAGAATGCAATACGTGCTTTATCATTTCCTATCGCTCTGGCCTGGAGCCTTTCTCAGCCTGTGCTCCTGTGTGCACTCCAAAAACATTCATAATTATTCTGTCTACTTGTTTCAAGAATCACATCCAAATCCTAAGACCCATTCCCTTCGGGATTGTTAAAAACAGGAGAAGATTCTGTTTATACTGCTAAAAGCATTAATTCCAGAAAACGTTCATTCAAGCCGGGTGCCAGGCCAAGTGGCGGAGAGCAGCTCACGGCCAGGCCGCAGCACGTCCACAGCAGAAGGCCATGCTCACGTTGCACAACACTTGGGCCACATCAGCTCTGGAGATCATCTGGAGTACCCGTGACCCTAGGTCAACAGTTATCTTTTATTCCGAGTCATGTATGTGCAACAACACACCTACAGCTTTCCAGATGGTCTTTTAACACAACGGTACCGAGAATGATACGTGCTGCAAATCCTGGGACATACAGAATGCTTGAAGAGACAAGTTCCCACTGACAACACGGGAGGATTATGTATTTATTTATACATATGTATGTTCGCATGCATGTATATTCATCCACAGAGTGGTACTCGGAGCAAATTATCCTCAGAATTACCCTGGGGTTTCACTTCACTGTCACTTACTTCACTCATTCTAAAGAGCTCAGAAAGGTACTAACATACACGTTAAGGGGAGAAACAGGAGACTGAGACCTAGTGAACCAGCAAGATACGTTATTTGACAACGTCAAAAAAGCCTTCTGCAAGGTTCCCTCTGCTATAGGTTTCTTCAGCCTTTCAGAAGAATATTATTAGCCATATCCCACTTTACAGATGGGAAAACAAAGGCACAGTTAATGAAACAATTTGGTGAGGCCACGGGAAGACCTCCAGAAATTTTGCAAAACAGAACCTACGTTATCTAATCTGCAGCTGCAAGGCCTCTTTCCTGACATTCCTGCGAGAAAAACTAAGGCGGACTTGGGACAATATTATTATAGAATACTTCAAACATTATGTCAATGCTACGTTAGCACAGGAAAAACATCGTATTTAAGGTGCTTTTTCTAGTGTTTCCTTCCAACTCATAATAAATTGGAATGAGCAATATACTTATTATATCTCTCAGCTATCTTCAGGAAATTGAATTCCACCTAAATAGTTTAGATGATCCCTATTTCTGCTGTGGACAAAAAAAAAAAAAAACCAAACAAAACCAAACTAAAATAACAAAAGTAAATTATTTTGGATAGATAAATAGTGTTTCATTACTTTTTGTTTTGAGCTTTGATAAGATTTGGGGGGGGGGGGCAGGGAAGGGGAACGCTGGATTTTTGCTTTGTGTGTTTTGTTTTGTTTGTTCAAACAGGTGCAGCTGTTCTGTACTAGAAGTGCATTGAAAGAGCTGTCACCTTAGACTACCACTCCACTAATAAACCTCTTATCTGTCCTACTGGATAACAAGTGAATGTTAAGTCTGCAGTCCATCAGCAAAAGGAGATTAATCATACACCAAAACGTGCACAGATTTCTTCCATTCTATGGCATATCCAAAATACTTATTTAAAAACCACACGACATTCCTTTCAGCTAAATACTAGCTTTCACCAGTTTTCAAAATCACTCCAAGTAAAGATGCATTTAACCAATCAAGTATTATATATACTAAAAACAGATTTCAAACTTACGGTGCAATAATGGCTCTAGCAGGTCTTTTTGTGGACTGTACTTGGGAAAGCCAACCTTCTAGTTGTGCATTCAGCTGGGGTCCTAGGAAGAGACAAGGAAATACTGAAGCCATAAAAGATACCTCAAGAGTTAACAAATAAAGGCCACAAGTCCAACAGATTTTAAAACATCTTAAACACCAAAGCCTGTGTTTACATCTCAGAAAAAAAGTCAACCCAACACAGCGGTAATGTTGAAGGTTACAGTAGGAAAGTTTTAATCTCCTAGTAGAGGAAGGTCACTTATTGCACATCCAAACACACACGTAGTGTTTCTTACTCTGTGGACTGATGCACGTACCATTTCATCATTAGAATCGATGGCTGCTGATCTCAAAAGAGAGGCTAACGGATGACTGATTCCTCTAGTAGTCGTATTTGCAGCATTCAGAAGTAAAAAGTTAAGATGACCTACACCAAGAGAGTCTGATATGGGAAGATGATATAATACAAAGACCTTACATACTGACGCGATAGCCAATGGCTATGGTATTGAGTCCTCTATTATTATCAAGCAAGCATAAGAGCAGAACACAAAGCACACTGTAACCTGGAAAAATTGTAAATACGGAGGAAAAAGCTAAAAGTGAGAAGACACCATGCTTATACCAATGCCTTAACAACTTCTGATCAATCAACATATATTAAAAGTACATAGATTTCTTGGCAACATTTAACTTTGATAATTGGTCAATCCAATATTTAACTTATTTTTTTAAAACTAGATTCTTTATCTCATGAAATGGCAAATATTCTCAATCCAATTAGCTGACTAATTTTATCAATTAGTGCTAAAAATGCCTTCTAGAAATACATTAAAAACACCCACGTGTTTTGGTTCTTTCCCATCACAAAGAAAACTTTTGATGTAAAGCTATTCCTGAAGAAGCAGGTCTGGCAAATACAGTGCAACATTCTTTATCTTAAAGAACACAAAACAAACTTTCGAGTAAAACTGATTCAGCTGCTATTGTTACAAGTAACATATCATTAGCAAAGAGAAAAATAGATGTACTTTTTTCAGTTGACACTATGTTTTTGGCAGAAAACTCTGCTTCAGCAGAGTTTATCTGTAAAGTATGGTGCAGTAAGCTGCTTTTCTTCTACTATTCACTTTGTAGATTTTTGTACCTTTCCCAATCAGGTGTAAAACCACCAACTGCCAGGAAAAGTCAAAACCAAATTAAATACCTTAAAACTATTTCACAGCTATGTTCCAAACAGCCCAGATGTCAAGCTGACAGCTCTCCAAAAAGCTGACAAGAGCTACAGAGAACTGGAGCAAAGATGTCAACTTTTGCAGAATCCAGTCAGTCACTCACCAGTGATAGCCAAAAAGCTCTCCCTAGAAAACCTGGAGGGTAAGGGTGTCAGAGCCATGTTTTTTTATACAATATTTAAATTCATGTGTTTCATGAAAAAAAGGATGACTTCTGTGGTTGTAAAGAACCCTGCCTTCTCACACAAAGAAAGTGAACTAGTGCAACACCATTTCCCCAAGTCTACAATCACCTTGAATGCCTTAGTTGCTGCCTACAGCTCTAACAAGGCAAAAGAGTGACACTGATTAGCCACTGTCACTCGTGCAATACAGACTTTGTGAAATGATGAAATTGTAAAAAAAGAAAACCAAACAAAACAAAACACACCAACAACACAAAAACCCACACCAATTTTGCTGTGCTGCTTCTGTTGCTTGGGGAAATTACAAGCAGCAGAGACATGCCGTAGAGATAAAGATAATAACTTCTTAGAAAATGGAGGCTGTTGGGGAAGCTAAGGAAAAATAAATAGATCTCTATTTCCATCCTCTTTCTAAGCTAGTAGGAGACTAACAAAACAGTATTCTATTACAGTCTTACCACTTATTTTTTATATACTTAAGAGTGAAGACACAAATCACTTAAAAAAACTTGACTTCCTAATTCTCCCAAAGTATGCAGAAGGATAAAGTACTTACTGAATGAAGCTCCTCAGGAGGATAGAATTTTCTTTTTTTCCAAACACACCTACTACCCAGAGAGTGAAATAAAACATGACTCCGACCCCTTCTCAATAAGATCCACAGGCTGCACAACAGCAGAAGGGCCGGAACCTCTCAAGCACAGCGAGACAGCCTTGGGACTCTTCCCCAACAAGGCACAGTGCTTGGCCTTCCCCCATCTCTTCCTTAGCCAGGGATTTCGATTAAGAAGGTGGTTAAGGCAATTCATCTCTGCTTAAGACAAATCAGGTAACTTGCTGAACAGTTTAAGACAAAGTTCAGAATCTCTGCTAATTTTCTAAAATTCCATATGACTGTTCAAATCTGGCCAAAACTTCCTATCTTACAGTGTAGTAGCAGAGTAAGACACCCAAGCTTGCTTAGGCTGCTATTACAGACACACACTCTGACAAAGTAGCAAATGTTTTTTTCCTAGAGGCAGTAAAATAACAGATCTGTATGACCCAAGGGATGAAACTGCTGTCAGTGTTTACTTAAGGACCAAGTAACACAACTGCTTTCAGATTTTTTTTCCCTTTAATGCAACCACAAGGTGCCTTTTTAAATCATTAACCCCGACCTAATGTAAGTTTTCGTTTCAACTGATACTTATTTGTACTATTTTAATAAAACACGTAATCAAATCTGTCTCTCCAAAGGACTAACAGAAACAGAGAATGGAGAGTACAGCATATCCACCTGACCTTTTAGCTAAAGAAAAAAAATAATCCAACAGTACCTACATGAACTGGCAGGAGTATCACCTGCCTGCAGCTTCCTAGGCTCACAAATACTTTAAGGGGGATATTCTAAAACTGCCATTCTCTTGTTACCAAGTCAGCATCAACTTTTTGTTGAAGTGTTTAGAGAAGTTTTTCTTCCAGTTTCTCAGACATGACAATGCTTGAGGCTAAAGTCAAAATGTTTCAATTGGAGATACAAAATATAAATAAACCCACATTATCACAGTAGATATGCTCTGCCATATGGAATTGTATTATAGAAGATGAGTAGCTTCTTCACGAAGAGCTCTGTAAGTAAGTTCTGTTTATATGTAAGTGAAGCTAAACTGGAAGAAAGTCTTTGCAAATAGTCACTGAGATAACCGCGATAAATATCCACCTTCTAAGCTGACAAGCACAGGAGAGGAATAGCGCTGCTGCCTGTGCATCCTCCTCCTCCAGCAGTGGGAAGTAGGAGAGGTCCCCGCTCCTGAGCTGCGGGTGGGAAGCCCAGCTTGAGAAAGCTGGCAGGAGGAGCGCAGCGGGATTTTTAAGGCTAACCCAGACAGAAGGACAGAAAGCTTTATGGTTGCAACTTCTAGATACAACAATCAATACAGTTTAACGTTAATACTCTAAGATCAGACCTGTTATTGATTAAAGGAAGATTAGGCGGCAAAATACGAGCTTCACTGAAGCACGTAACATTAAGATCTGCATTTCAACCCTGTGAAGTAAGGTATAAATATAGGTATGTAACTAAAGAATGCTGACAATATCTCTGGATATTTCACATCCTGTTTTGTTTTGGAAACCAGGAGAAGCTGTGCCAATTTAAAAATAATTGCAAGCACAGTCCAAGTCTCCATCAGACAAATTTATGGGTACAGCTACAGGCAGCATTTATTCAAATATCTTGCCTAAAGGGATAAATTATTTTTACAGTCAACATTATCCCCTCACAAAGCACTAGAGTAAGTAAGAAGGAATCCTTCTGCGTTAAATACACGCCAGCATCACACAATGAATAGTAACAAAGACATCTGGGAGTTGCATGCTTAGGTTCATCACCTCAATTTACAGCTACCATGGTCCAGGCTTTGCGGGTTGAGCCAAACCGGCACATTCTTTCTACAGCCGAGGCGTGAGGCTGAACTGCTTACATGCCAAGCGTCAACACAATCCAGTGGGGACTTGCTCCTGCCCCAGCAGCCACCATTACTAGTGCAAACCCCACTTTTCCCATTGGTAGGGAAGTCTCAGTGAATGGTTTCTTTGCTGGAAGAGCATAAGCCTCAACGCAAATTCGGAGCAGCACCAGGGAAAACTGCTCAGCTCTCGCTTGGTTCCACGTGTACAACGCTTGCAGCAACGCAAGTAATGCTGGAGCACAATGACAGTAACGATGCATTCACCAGCTTCTGAACTTCTGCTTGACATCTTTCACTTGTCTAAGCAAGTCTGCTAGCCTACAGGAGCCAACTATTTGTTTTCTGAGCCTTACTCCTTTTATCTTTTAACTGTCTTTACCCATTGATGAAAAAGTCTACACCTCGAAAATACTTGTAATAAATATTACAGCATATGTACTAAGAAGTAAGGAAGACTTTATTCTTGCAGCATGTTAGAAAAATCATGGTAAGCGACAGTGAAACTCCAATCTGAAACATGACAAAGGACTAAATAGTTTCTCTTCTTAGTTAAAACTGCAGAAAGCATAAGGATTGTTTTAAAGAACACACACCCCACTTGAAAAAAAAATCCGTTTCTCACTGCAACAAAAGCCAAATCCTTGAATAAAGAACAAGTTTTATCTATGCAAAGACTAGAATTTGCCAGGAGTAGAAGGTGATTTTCAACAACTCATGTTGATGGGCACATTCTCTACTGCTAGCATATACTCCTTTCCTATACTGAATATTGATGAAACGGTGAAATCAGCCTTATAGGCAAGGCAGGAATTTATTTATGCAAACTATAGGACTGGCGAAAGAAAAAGTCATGTACAAGTTAAGATTACACTGATGCTACATAAACTCCTATTATACACATTGTAAAATGGACATAAAACAGCAGGTAATGCTTTAATGGGGGAAAATAAAACTGAAGCCACAAAGAAACATTGAAATCTGCTTTGGTGGCAGTTCTCACTTGCATGTCCCAGTTTTACAGTATCCCACTAGCTCTTTAATTTCCTTTACTGAAAGTTATTAGAAAATAAATAATCAATCTGTACACCACTCTTTAAGAATATCAACCAACGTGCACCTACCTAGCTTTATAAAATACTTTAGCAGTTAGATCATTCAGAGATCCAAACAAATGACCTTCTGTTTT